AATAGCTGTTAACAGCATAGTGCTAAATTTGATACGAGAATGCTTAGATATGTTATTTACAGTTTGTGATTTCTGTTAGGGTGGTCCTGTTGATATAAATGGTACACAATAATTTTCTTAAAAATTTACAATTCAAGTACTAAACAATTATTTTACTGAAAATACAAATTTATTATCATTTTTTAGCTTAAGCAGGAAGAAAATAAAATCTTTCACACATAATATAAGAGCTTTCACACAAAATGGAGCCTTCATACAAAATAGAATTTTCATGCAATTTATAGCCTTAGCAGAGCTTTCTATCAAAAAAAACTTTCATCCATAATAAAGTTCTCTCTTATTAAACGATTTCTCTTCATATATTAATTTGACATTCAATAACTACACATTTTTTGGAAGTTCATAAGTAACTTTCCCATTTGTAAAGTAGTGTAAATATTTTTTAAACTAAAATATCAAATAGCAATTTGTATAAGACAGCAATTTAAGAAAGAAATCCTCAATATTATTTGAAATTTACAATATATAAAAACGGACAAAATATATTAATCAAAACGCTACTAGACAGCGAAGTAATCTATAAACCGCACTGAGGAATGCATAAAATCACAGAGTTTAATGAAATTCGACAAATCTTCATTATTGGAAGTTATAGATATACAAGCCATTTACTATTTGTACTTTCTAAAATATTTAGTTATAAAAATAGTAGGGCTTTTTAAAACATTTGATAAAGCTTTCACACAAAATAAGGAGCTTGCACGCATAATAAAGCTTTGGACTAAAGTTTAAAAGTCAAGAGAAATAATTTTAAGATTTTAAAAGTAGCTTTCATGCGTAATTGTGATTTTGATTAAAACTTTCTATATATAGAATATTAAATTGATACAAATATTATTAGCAAACGGTTCAAGAAAAACATACCAAACATCTTTGCCTGAACTTTAAAATATAGTTAAGCTTTCGAATAAAGTTTTCAGTAACAAAATTATTAATTAAAGTGAGATTCATTGTAAAACTACTTAAGAAAACTATTTTTAACCTTTTTAAAGTAGCTTTCACATATGAGCTTTCCTATAAATCTGCTAGCGTATGTAAAAAATAATTCAATGAATCCAAAAGCGGGTCAAAAAAATATTACTAACATTTTGAAAAGAGCTTTCATGCATAAATGAGCTTTCGATTAAAGCTCAAAAACTACAATTTTGGAATTTCGAATTGTAAATGTGATTAAATAAAAAAAATGTAAGAAGAAAGGTAAGCAAAATTGTTATTTAACACTTCCGATTGCCCTCAACAAGGGATTAAAGCAAAAGCTGAGTATTAAATAAAAAAAAGTTGAAATTGATAAGAATGTCTCAGTTTAGAACAAGAATTTTGAAAATATTTATTTTACAAATTTTTGTGCACAACAGACTAATAATTTGAATTCTTTCATATTTTTAACTTTTTAATATTCTACCGCAAGTATAAATCTCCACTTTAGTACCACCCTAAACCACCCTCGCTGCTAACGCCAGCTTGCTACATGCAACTTTCCCATACTTTTAACAATGCTTTGCACATTTTTTAGCACACGTGTATATTTGTACATATCTGCATACATAAGTTATATTTATTGCACAATCTTGCCTTGCCGGCGTCCTAAAAACAATTCCATCCCGCCGACCATGGCCAAATCAAAAACGTGTAAGCAAATATATTTATTAAAAAAAAAATTATGGTTTTTTTAGTGCTTTTTGCATAACAGTCATAACAATAACAACAACTTGAATAACTTTGTCAAAATATTGTATTCAAATTTCAACAACTACAACAGGGCGCTGTCGCTGTTGGCATCAAATTTCAACGAAATTTAATTTTTTAATTAACATACAGCATTACTCACTGCATTCGCGCTGTCAACGAGTGAAACCGACAAACGGTCGAACATGCCAACAGGTGAATTGCCGAAAATTCAACCAGTCGATTGGTCGAAAAGTCGAATTTGCGGCGACTGTTCGTTTGACAGCCGCTATTTTGCTAGCTGCGCTGGGTTTTCGACGAGGCCATAACGGAACAGGTCTAACCGCACTCGGTAGGGTGGCATAATATTTCAAAGCGCCAAACGGATTAGCAGCCGGGCGTAAGCAATTTGCGCTAATAAAAACCAAAAAAAAAAAAATCAATTATGGGAATTTGAATATTTTCTTACGACTATTCTTTGTGAGCGAATACACCCGCTGTTTGATTAAAGCAATATATGTATATAATTTATAGAAAAAAATTTAGAATTAACACTGCTTTGGTTTTGTAACTTCGTACTTTTGTACTACGAATTCAGTTCTTCTGCTTCTTCTTACAGAATAACACATATATATATATATAACAAATATCCGCTTGACCGCTCAATATCCACTAAATTTTGCTTTGGTTTCACATAAAATGCATTGCGAAGCATTTCGGCTGTGGCAACCACAGGAATATTTGAAGGGCGCTCGCCAGCATTTGCCTGTAATATCGCAAGCGACTTTCTAAGCAACGGTCTAATACAGAAAGTAGTGTAAAGAAATAACTGTAGTTAATACACGCTTAAATATATTTGTTTGAAAGCCAAGCGGCTAAAAACTATATAAATAAAAAATTAAAAAAAAAAGAAATTTGAAAAAATATCCAAAAAATTTTCCCAAACTGCAAACCGAACTATTGACCCAAAATTAAGTTGAAAAAAATATTCACCATAAATAAATAATTTACACTGACAGAGATTGCCGCACCAACAACAACAAAAATAGCAACAGCAATAATAAATTGTGCATGACCAAAAAACAACAACAACAATAGCAAATCATACCTTACCAACTAACAATAACAACAATAGCAAATCATACCTTACCAACTAACAACAACAACAACAACTGCAAATTCAACATTGCCGCAAAATACAAATAAAGCAAATCGATTTTGCCTCGAAAGCAAGAAATATTGAAATATTTACATTTCTAAATTTGTATGTATATTCTCAAGGAATGCATACATACAAGTACACTCGTGGGCATTTGAAAGCAATGCGCGACTAGCCAATCGAATTTAAAATAAAGAAAGATAGAAAGAAGCCGCCCATCACTAATTAACATTCTGCTGCTTTCAAATAGATGAAGAACTTTATGGCTTATGTAAACACATATATTATATACATGCACTTATGCACATACATTCATGTAATTAGATATGTTAGAAAGCAAAGTAAAAGAGAAGAAGGTATTTACTAATCACACAAGAATTTGCTAAGCTTTTGCAAATATGCAAGCCGAAAGCGTTAATTAGAAGTTGCTCTGTTAAGCAACTGTTAATGCCAAAAGCGCTTGATTATTTCAATTATTAATGCAATATTGTTTAATGGAGTTTATTTAAGTTGTAAATGGTTTCAATATTTATTAAGGTGAAGTCAAGTTTGAATAAATTTTATATAAATATAGGAAAGACTATAGCAGAGGCATACCAGCAATTTAACAGCACTCATAAAGTGAAGTTTGTACACTACAGATAATTTATTGGCTTTAAAATGTTCTATTATTTGGATGTCAAACCTCTAAAGTACACAAATAATTTTTATGATTTTTTCAACTGTAAGCTAACAGAAATTTAACAGAATTCATACAAAATAGCTTCCAGGCTAAAAATTATTAAAAGGTTCGACATTTGTTTACCAATTTTTGATATAATTTGATATAAAGCTTCAAAGATATGCGATCAATTTGTGGATTTGAGCATATTCCCTCAACAGTGATCTAACATAACGTTAACAAAACTTGCCCCTAAGCTAAAAACTATTGAGTTATTTGAGATTTTTCAAATTATTAGATATCAATATAATCAACTTCAAATATAATCGACTAATTTATACTATAAAATAGATTTACTCAAGAGTGCCCCAACATAACCTTAACAAAGTTCATACAGAGTATTTTCCACTATAAGGTGATGAACCGGCTTCACATTTTCGAAACGATTTAACTGTTAACTATTAACTACACTCCTACCAACGACCTTGGGAAATTACTTAGACCGATTTTAGTATCCTTAAACACTGCTGCACAGATGAAACCAATAATTTCACAGAAAATGTGTAATAAAGTAGAGAAAAAAAGTTCAATTATATCTTAGCTTGTACTCTATATATAATCTAAGAACTCCGTGATTAACTGAATGAAAAGTTTGTAGCAAGCAATGGGTCACTTCTTAGCGGTATCATGAATAACCGAGGGGAGAAAAAAAATCGGAGTATCACCATCAAAAGAAAAATAATAACGGCAGTGTGTTATTCAACCGATCAGGAGCGAAATAATTATAATATGGTATAAGGGCTACATTTAGTATAATTTTTACCATATTTCAATATATATTATTTTTATAGAATTTTCTAAAATTTCGGTAATTTCTGTGAAAAATAGTTTCCAAAAATAACAAAAATCAAATATAACAAAGAGATATTCGCCTAGACCAAGCTGCAACAGCAACAACTTCGTCTGAAGCCTGCTATTGCATATTTATAATGTAAAGACAAATCCCATTGGCTCGTATTGAAAGCTGCAACAACAGCTAACATTGATTAGCATAGATTATTTTTTGAAGTGCTTGACTACAAACAACAATATTTGCAGCAGCTTCACTATGCAAACAACTTTGGAAAATTCCATTTTAGCGTCGGCAAAATGCGGCCGAACGAAGACCGACGTGATTTGCAAACAAAGCTGCTGGAGCGAACGCAATGAGAGGAATTTTTTCTTAATTTTTTTAATGATATTGCATATGCATATCATGCATACTTGTATGATTTCGGTATATTAATGGAAATTTTAATTTAAAAAAACAACTAATAGTTTTGGTATTGTATAAAAAAATATGTTTAATTAAAAAAAAAAATTATTTTAATATTTTATAAAAAAAATCATTTTAATATTTTAAAAAAAAGTATTTTAACATTTCTATAAAGTTTTTTTTCTGTAAAAGCCACTTACCTTAAATTTTACGCTGTTCGGCTCACTTGCCGCCTTAATCCAACCGCGTTAAGCGTTCCCGTATATATTTTAGCAGCTGTTTTTATGCTTTATTCAAATTTCTTTTTTGTTTTCACCGAGAATGATTATAATATTTCAATATCTAATCACCAGTTAATTAAATTTTCTACCATTTCGTTAGGGCAATATAAGTTTTTTTAATCCCAAAGCGTTTCAGCACTTTTTGTCACACTGTTTTTTAGAACTACTTTAATTATTATTTGTTATAGCGAATGGATTCTTGAAAATATCACAAAATGTATTCGTTGCTCACTGCGCTATTTTGTAGTCGTATATATTTATATTTATATACATATAAAGAAATATTTTTTTAATTCGCTTTTAATGCTAATTAGGCGCGTTATTCGCAAGCCTTTCAGCAATAAGTTTCAAGCTTTATTTGTGTTTAATTTTTATATTAAATAGTAATATTAATAGTAAAAAATTGGCAAGCTTTAAGTTGACTTCGTTGTGTGTAGTAAGTAGCGTGTTGTTGTGGTTTTTTATAATTTATATTTTTTGCGCACAAATTTATGTTAAAAATTCTTAATAAGAAAATTTACGTGACGCCGCAGCTTTATTATTGCTGTTATGAATTTTTTGTAGTTTATTTAATTTTAATTTTTTTAAGTTAATTTTTTTTATTTAGTTTAATTGTTAAGACACTTTAATTGCTTTTCATGCACTTTGTTCTGTTTTTTATCATTATTTTGCGTGTGTTTGTAATTTATTTTATGATTATTATTTTTTATTTCTGCAATGAAATTGACGAAAAAGTCATTAGCTGAATTGCAATAAAATTTTTAGGCATTCTGACTGCACATTTAATTTTTTAAAATTTCAATTTGGCAAGATTTCTATTTTTTTACAGTTTTTTGTAAAATTCTAATTTTTTCACAATTTTTTAATTTTTTTCTAAATTTTAAATTTTTTTCACAGTCTTTTGCAAATTTTTATTTTATACAAATTGTTTCTTTTGTTTTAATTTCTTTGTGTGTCAAACTTTATTTGCCACACTGTTTTAATTACTTTGCGGCCGCATTAGTTTCGGGTGACACCGAAGTGGGTGTGCAAATTCCCAGTTTTATGACTTGTTGTTGCTGTTTTTTGCAAAATTCTCTACTTTTGATGCATCTGTTCAGCTATTTTTTCCAGATTAGTCTCCGTTTCCGTAGTAATTTTTCTTGCTATTTTTCTTTCTATTTTTGTTGTTATTGTTGTATATATTTCTACTTTTAAAAAAAGGTACTCTTTAGTTGCTTATTGAATAGTAGTATTTATTGTTGTTAAATTTTAAGTTCATAGGCAAAAGCATTAGCATTGATAGTAATTATTGTAGTTTAGTTATAATTGTTGTAGTATTTAGTTGAAGCTTGTAAAAATTTATTTTCTTGGTTTCTAAGCTAAAAAGTAATCATTTCCATTTTAGTAACTAGCTAGTGAGTGGTTGTTGTAGAATTGAGTAGTAGTGCTTTAAGTTAATATTTTTGAAGTGTTTGTTGTTGTAACTTTTCTGCAAAATTTCTATTCTTAGTAAAAGGTTAAGCAGCGAGCATTATACTTTTCTTATTTTTATTTTTATTTTTTTTTCGTAGTAAAAATTTTTATTTTTTATTTATGCCTTAAGCTAGTATATACTGTTGGCAGGAAGCGCCTATAGCTTTTTGTTGTTGTTGTATTAAATATAACGCTTATGCTGCTTGTTGCCACAAGTGAAGCGTTAAGTTCATGTTGTTTGCTTGACAAATTTACTGGCGCGTTGCACTTGTTGTTGTCCAAAATTTAGAAAGGCATAACAAATTATGTTTGTTGTTGTTGTGTTTGAGTTTTACTGTAGAAATTCTACCCAATATTGGTTTTTTAGCACCAAATGCCCAGCTGCACTGCCGAGTCGTTTTCACCAAACACCCGTTAAGAGATCTTTAAACATAAATAGGACTTCGCCTGAGTTCGTTTTTAAGCACTGTTAGTTAAATTTTATGTATATTTTGTAAATACAAATTTTTTACTTGAGAAATTTGCTTTTGAGTGCACCACATAGCGCATAAAACTGCAATTCAGTAGCAAAAAGGTATAAAAAATTAATTTTTATTTTTAAAATTTTTCTTTTAATTTTTTTTGTAGAAATCATAAAATTTTCAAACAATTTCGACACATATTCACACTGTCCAGCTTCGCTTGGGCCGTTGCGCTGCCGCTTTTGCTATTAGTTGCAGTTATTGCTACAAACTGTTGGTGTTGTTGTCGTTGTCATTGTCACTAAATAATTTATTGCGCTCATAAGTTGAGCGTGACATGTTTTGCAAATACGTTTTTCTTAACTGTTGTTGTTGTTTTTGTAGTTTTTTACTAAACACGCCGCGTATTTCAAGCGTTTAGTCGCTGTTGCACGCAGCCACGCACCTTTGTTGCTGATTTAGCTTTTGCTGTTGCATGCCGCACCGGCGCTATGTTGTTGACATACCGTTACTTTAAAGTCCCATAAGCTAACCATGCAAATTTGTTTTGCTTATATTTCGTATTGACCGCAGTGTGAGTTAGCCAGGCAACGAGCGAGCTAGCGAGCGACCAACACCGTCAACTTGTGAATGACAAATAACAGGCAGCATACGGCAGCAGCAACATCAGTATTGATGCTGTGGCATGCCACAGCTGCAACAATGTCGGTGACGACGACGACGGCGGCGGCAATGCCCGTGGCTTTCAGAGTGAATTGTTGTTGTTGTTATTGTTCTAGCTATTGCAGACACGCTGACGGCCAGTTGCCGTTGATATAGCGAGCAGCAGCAATGTTGCAGCACGGCAATTAGAATGTTGCAAGCATGACAACAACAACAAACAGCAGTTGTAGTAAATAGCGAAAGCGCCAATAGCAAAAGCGGCAGCTAAGTAAAGACACTGCTTGAGCTTGTCACCGGCAAGTGGTGAATTCTTATTGTTTTTATTGTTGTTGTTCTTGGTGTCAAAACACGGCACTAAAATTACCGTTGGCGGAACACACTGTCGAATTGTTTGCAGCTTCGATTTTTCACCTTCTTTCTCACTCCACAGCTCAAATTACTGATTTTTTAATTTTTTGCTTGTTGTTGTAAACTAACTAAAGTGTAATTTATGTGGCGCAACACGCCGTTAATACATCTACTAAATATTTGTGGCGCGTTTAGCCGCCGTTTGTGACATGCGGAACGTATTTTGTTTTGTTATTATTGTTGTTGTTGTGACACGACACAACACCGTTCAAAAATTATTATCTACGAAATAAGACGCGTACGGTTCTGACGTTGAACCGATACTGGCGCTATAAGCCAACCAATGTATCTCAGCGGTGCGATACTGCGCGGCGCGTTGCTGCTCCCCGTACACAAGCGCTAGCAACCTTTCTAAATAGAATGCTACACGCATACAACCTACACAGCCAGCGCGCTCAGCGCAGTCAACAAGCCAACCACCAGGCGCGCGTATGTACGTGTATGTGCATGGTGAGCGCGCGCTCCGTGCTGAGTGCAGATCAATGCGCATGTATTTGTGTTAAACACACGCATACACACACGCACACTCACACGGTCAATTGCCCATTCACCCGCGCATGTTCATGCATGCCAGGCAACACACACTCACACACTCTTACAGGGCGGCATAACTGCACAGCGCGCAAGAAATGTGCCGCGCATACATGTAAGCGAAGAGCACGCGCTCTGGCGCTCTCACTAGAAATACGTTTATTGCAACGATGCTCTCATTGGTGTGGAGTCTGCGCTTGTGTTGGTGCTTAAACTACACACAGATACTTTTAGTTACACGGATAAAATCGTTGTTTTTGCTTGCTTGCCGCATATTGCTAGCTATTGTTGCTTTCTGCTGTTTTTGTTGCTATTGTTGTTGCTTTTTTGTTTTTGCTTTTATTTTATTTGCTGCTACTCTTGTGTTGCATGCAAAAACACGTGCGAAGCTCACAACTGCAACGGATTTGTCACTGTTGCAACCTCCTACTCAACGCAGCTGGTTTTGCGCTGCGCCACCACTGCTTCGTCGCTGTCCACTTGCAACTTTATTTGTCGCTGTTCCCACTCCATTTCGCCGCTGCTCGCATTTATTTTCATTTTTTGCCATATATTCGCTATTCGACTTTTTGTTGTCTTATTTGCAGTGGTTGGGTGTTGGTGTGCGCTGTTATGGCTCTACTTCTTTTTGTTGTTGTTGTTGCTTTTATTGCAATCGCCGCTACGCGCTGTTGGCGTGACTCTTTGTTGTTGTTTGCTTTGCTTTATTTGTTTCTTGTTTTGACTTTTGTTGTTGTCAGCATTGTTATTGTTATTGTTGTTGTTTTTCCAACTGCGTGGGCCTCTTCTAATTGCAAAAGATATGCCAATGAGAACGAGACTTGCGACTCGCGCATTTTATTCGTTTGTCTCTTGTTTGTGTTTTATATAATTTTGTTGTTGTTGTTTTAGCATCAGTGTGTACTCGAAAGCACCTCCCACTTCCAGTTGCTGCATTGCTTTCGCGTTCGCTTTTTTTCTACACACGAAAGCACTTCACACTCGTTGTTGATGGGAGCTCGCCAAGCAGTTTTTCTGCTGCTTTAATTAGCTAATGCAAATGCTAGTCCATTTAATTAGATGCAAATTATATGTGAGTAAATATGTATGTGTATGTACGTATGTAATTGGATAAGCTAATTAGATTTGTTATTATATTCTTTCAGCGAACTTTTTTATAAGATTATTTAATAATTTTTATGCAGGGTATATTAATTCAGGAACTCTAATGGTAACGGAGTCTATTAGCTTTCTTAAAGTGCTAAGTGTTTAGTGTTGCGATAATTTCTTTAGCTATCATCTATAGTTAAAAATTTTTAATTAAGGTTGGATCTATTATTATAATGATATGTTATTCGATGATAACGAAGTATGTTTTATAGCAAATGATCAAATACGACCCGGATTGATTCATTTAAAATGCGCGCGTAGGTTGAATTAATTTTTTTTTCATAGATTTTTACAAACCTTTTTTATGTTCGTGTAAATTCGGGTTTGATCAACATATGTCAATTAGTAAGTGCTGAGCAGCTGTTTGCTTTCGACGAACAACGAGTTTGCTTGCTACATGCGAATTGCAATAGCGACGTCGATTAGTAGTCACAACTGTGATGCTTTACAACATAGCTCAGAACCCCAAAAAATAAAATCGGCCGAGACTTATTTATATATGTATATTATAAGTGTATGAAAACTTGGGTTAATGCATGCTTGTATTGGCTCAAAAGTAGCCTTTTTTGAAGGCAATTTTAAAGACTTATACAAAAAGAAGTAACATTTTTTTTCTCAAGCCTGTTATATGTTATAAAATATGTGGCTATCAAAAATTAATTTCGAAATGTTTGAAGAATCGAATATCATTAGTGATCAATTATTCCAATTGATATTAAGGATAAGCGCGATTTTATTCTGCAGAAACACGCTAAAAAAGGTAAAGAATGGAACGGTAAAGGTGGAATGCACAATACAACAGACAAGGACGTAGGAACCTAATGAAATGCTGGTCCAGTGAGTGAGAGACCACAGTCATAAAGGTTGAAATAAGATCTTTTTTTGGTAAGCAAGTGACAAACGAATGCTCACTTCAGTATACAAAGAGGTATCCATTAT